GTGTGTGTCTTCTTCCCTCTGGGACCTGGGCTTCTCTATGGCACATGTTCTCCTCATGGTAAAGGGAAGAGAACAATGGCAGGACCATGCAATGGCTCCTAAAACTTCTGCTTGTGAAGCATTCATCGCATCTATTCATATTTTAGTAGCTAATGTACGTCACAGAGCAAAGCCTGATGTTAACGGGGCATGCAGTGAACTACAGGGAGGGGCCTGGAGAGAGGGGCATCAAATATTTTGAACAAAAATATCTGAACAAATAGTATGATCCACTACAAGTGCCTGGTACATAGTAAGTGCCGTTTGTTTGTTAAAGAAAAACAGTGAATGCACAATGGCACAGAATCCTGAGCTAGGACGAGATGTTTGGGAACACTGACATATTCGGTGTCACTAAAATCTATGGTACACAGGGGTTGAGAGAGGTACAAGGGGCCACAATTTTAAAGGCTTTGAAAGGAGGCTAGATTTTTGCCTACAGGTAAAAGATAAGTTGCAGTAATAAAATTTTTATAGCTATATTTTATATGGCACTTCTGTGACAGTTTTATCAAGACATTAGCATAACTCCATTTATTTTGCATTGAATATCTAAAAATCGAAGTCTATTAGTCACTCCCTTCCTGTGTAATACCTGTCTAATAAGATATTCCCTGTCAACCCTGGACTGAGTTGCATGACAAGGCAGAGGACAGACGGTTTCTTTCAGTATGTCCAGGATACCTGAGGTCAGGAGAGGGGAGGAGGAAGGAAAAGGGGGGAAGACAGTAGGCATGAAAAAATCAATATGGGGGATACAATGGACTGATAGGCACTCGATTCTGTGTTGGGATTATAAACACTATTTTAGCTATAAGGTGAAAGCACTCTCTAAATATGAATGTTTCCTAAGAATCTAATGTCGTCTTCTAATTTATACTTGGTCCTTTCACAAGCCCAACCAACCTCACAGTTCTACCCAGCCTTGACTTCCCTCTGCAGCTTCTGTCCTCATTCAATAAACTGCGGGAAATTAATCTCAATCCCTAAAATTCAGGAGAAAACCTTGGGCAGCAGATGAGTTATCTGACCTGCTACATTGTACCCTTCTTTGGTCAATGTGGAGAAGAAATCTAAGGAAAGGAAGAATAAGTGAGAAGAAAAGGAGGTATGAAGACAGGAGAAAGACGCGAAAAGCAGAGGAAGGCTCAGAGGACCCAACGTCTCATTCTCTGTTCACCCAGGAAGCCGGTCAGGGCTCCAAAATTTCAAAGCACTTTAGATTTCCACAGTAGATTATGCTATTCATAAGCTTTCCCCTTCACGTTATACCATGACTTGGAAACCCAATAAACACAAGGTTCCTTTCGGTGCCTTTTCTTTTATAGATACCATAGGACAATGTTTTCTTTTTTGTCTTTAAAACTATTGTGGAGGGAAGAGAGAAAGGCAAATCACAGCCTACAAATGAGCCATCCTGACTCCTTCGATTGCTCATTTTTCCCTTCCACTTTTTTATGATTTACAAACCCTAATAAGACTTCTATAACCTTGTACCATCCTGAAGTTTTTTGTTTGAAAAGCTTTAAAGATCCCCACTGCCCACAGGAAAAAAAAAACCAACTCAGACAATATTCAAAGTCCTACATAATCTGGTGTCAATCTGTGTTGCTAATCTTATTGGGTGGGGCAGATTTTTTTTTTCACAGTGAGGTTGCTTGATCACAACAAAATCAAAGTCTGATGTACTGAACAGAATGGGTAACAAACACAGGAAATGGGCAGGCCATAAAGGGATATGTTGAAGGGAGAAGCCGTCAGTCTGAGAAATACAGCCTTATCTACTCATTCGCACCCAAATAGCTTGAAGAGGACCAAATGATAAGAAATACGTGAACTGTAAAGACAGATGATCGGCAAAGCAGGCTCTTTCTATTTTAATCACACCAGAGTCAGCTCAGGCCTGAGACTTCAGCTTTTGAGACTTAGGATACAGCCCAGTGGTAATGACTCACTACCATGATTCATAAAACGGCAGAAAATGAAGAAGTGCAGAGAGATATGGATGGCCCAAAGTCTCACAAAAGAACTTAAATAAAGTTCAATAAGTAAGAAACATTTTCTCTAAGGAAAAAAAGGATTAATGTGCAACAAGATTAGTGACACTGTAAATACATAAAGGTCTCCTTTTGAAGTAAACACAGTATCTAAGGTCTTCTTTTCAAGATCAGTTTTTGAAGATCTCTCACCAAAGACATTAAGAAGAAGAGTTAAACATCATGGTGAGAATACAATGGAGGCACATGTACACTAACATTTGTTAAGTTCTTGCTTAAACTGAAATATTTCACTTGGATACTACATAGCTAAGCTTTCCAAAGACGATTTTGCAACCTTTCATGAAAACAGTACTATTTTAAATGTTAAATGTTGGTATTAAAAAACCAAAATTGCCAACGGACGAACAATGCAACATAAAAACATGTTATGTGAATAATCTCAAAGTAATCTTTCAGCAAAACCAGATGCCCTTTAACCTTTCCAGAAAGGAAAGGCAGCAGCTGGAATCTCTGATGGAACTGAAGAATGACAGCTGTCCTAGGCAAAATAACTTATTATGCTCCTGGTAAGCCAAACACTATTTGCCCCCCTCAACCCAGGAAAAAAATTTAGTCCTCATTCTTTTTGGTGATATCACTGAAGACAGAAAGTGGATTCCCACCTAGTGAAATACTGTACTGATGTAATTTATCAATTACATCATTATAAATTATAATGATAATGTAATTTAAATGTAATTTATCAATCTCCTTTTTTAATCAGTGGGATAGTTTAAAGTTAATATATCAGAAATATTTATAATCGTGCTAGAATAAGTGATACAAGGAGAAAGAAAAACTAGCATAACCAAAATAATCCACCAATAAGTAAATAAAATAAACTAAACCAAAGTTGGCAGCTTTCCAGAAAACATGAGTAAAGTTTTTGGTTCCTATGACAACATAACATGACTTATGTTTTACACAAATGTTTTATTTTTAAAAAGCTCTTTCTCTTAAAAAAAATACATAACTGCCAATAAAATTACTTCCTTAACACATACAGTATGCTAGAAAAACTACTGATTTTAATGCTGAAAGGTGAAATTTTAGCAACAGGTTTTCTAACATTCCCCCAAAACACTGAATACCACCTGTGCATTTCTTTTTGGCAGTACGAATTTTATTTTCTTTTTAGTGTCTTATTTAGTATGAAACCAAAAAAAAAGAGAAGTCACGTGATACATATGGGAAGAGGAGAAGTCATGTTGAGCAAGAGACATCTGGGACAAGCTGTGGCTTTGTTAATTTCAGCCTTTGATGCTAGAATCAGTTATGTGTAAACCGAAGAGTCACAAATAACTTTAATATCCTAGACTGAAGAACAAAAGGACCGCAACTTATCTGTTCCCCTTTCCCGATTCCCCAACGCTGTTCCCTCCCCCAATTCCCCCCCAAAAATCTTTAAAAACAAACAAACAAACAAAAAACAAATGGGTCACAAAATGAGTTCTCAGAGAAGCAGTTGGATAAATTAACCCAATGAAATAGCATACAATAAAGTACTTCTGAAATTCCTGAACGCTTTAGAAAAAGAACCAAAACAGACCATCACTTCTAAGAGAAACAGCATCATGAAAGAAATAGTAAATTCTCATGCTGCTCTAATGATGAAAGCAATAAGCTATCTATTTATTGTTCGTAGGCTGGTTAAGTAGCAATCAATCACGATGGCAGTTCAAGTGGAGATGAGATTAGACTAGGGAGAGCCTGGCAATTGTGCCCCAGACTCAGTCTGACCCAGAGACTCAGCTGTCTCTAAGTCACTGCACATCTTAGGAATACCACGTAGCTCAAATAGTTTAATGACCTCACAGTGGAGTTCAGCACTATGGTCCTGAAGCAAGTCAGGTATCTGGTATCTGAGAAAATACTTAGTGAGGCGAAAATAGAGACTTCCATCCCCAGAGTTTGGTTGGAAGCGGTGGGGAATGAAGGAGTAAATTGTATACGAAAAGAACAAATACAACGGAAATAATACCGATAGCATAGAAGAAAGAGAGAAGTGAGCAGGCTTACAGTAATGACACAGTAGCCCAAAATACCATTCACGAGCAAACAAGTTATAGCGATCGTTTACTAAAGTTAAAGTGTCTGCAGTGGAATACACAGTTATTTCCAAATCTTCTCCCTTTGATGTTCACATATTATTGTGAATCCATTCTGTCATTTTCTTAAGTCTTTTCCGAGAAAGAAATTAAAACTGTATTCCATATATACTAGTTATAAACTTATACTCATATAAATTTGGGAGTTGAAATTTAAGTCATGGATGAAAAATAAAGTTTAATTTCATGTTCTAGATTTTTAAAAAATACCTCATAAATAGAGTGTAAGACAAGTGCTTATTAAAATAAAAAACATATATATTATACAGTGTCATGGGGATGGGTGAGATGAAGACGTTCTAGCACACAAATGGGACACCACCCAAATCCTTAGGCTCATTCACTTCTTCCTTCTCTGGCCACACATCCTCATGAGTCTTCTGTCAGTTCCAATCCACCTGACTTTCCACTTAACCTTATTGTTTTTTCCCTTGCATGACAGTGTCCTTTACAAAACAAGCAGAATACCTCTCATTATTTTTAGTAAGCTCAACTTCTTCATTTTCTTTTTCTGTCATTTTTTTCCTACTATGAGTTTGATCACTAATGTAATTTAAAAATAACACTGATAAGAAATTCACCTAAAACTTTCATCAAAATTACCTGAAAACTGAGACAAACGGGCCTTCTTCATCTCAATTATCCACATAACTGGCCCTTTTTCATCACTAAGGAAGTAGCATTGATACAGAACCTGACATGATTAAAAGAATGTTGGAGACAACTGAATATGACCCATAATCTAAACATGACATTTTTTTCTAAAGTTTCTTCAGAAAAGAGAGGAAATGAGGGAGAAGGGAATCACACTTACAAGTCCACTTATGGCTACAATCCAGATGTAGGAACCAGAGGTGAAAAGCTATAAAAGAAAAAAAAAGGCAACTAAAAATGAAATTCAACTGCTAATCACAGCACACTTATTTTTATACAACTATAATCATAACCATTTATGCTAAGTATTCTATATCTTAATATGAACAAATAGAAAATTAATAAATATCAATTCTGTTATTTGAAAGAAAATAATATATTAATTTTTCTTTTTTTTTTTAACCAAACCTCTACCTTTCGTAGCCTAAAATGGATTGGTTGAACCTGGCCCACTCCCATGCAAAGGAAAATAAATGAAATTCAAGCATATTCTTATTTAAAAATGAACATTAATTGACTTAAACAAGACAAAATACCACATATAAAGGAATTATTAGAACTAACAAGATACAAAATATGTAGTCACTATCCAATGCTTTGTGTTAAGTAACAACATGTAATATTAGTTTACATAATTCTCATTTTAATTTCTCGTTATTCTAAATTTAGATGAAAAGAATTTTGCAAGCATATAAGTCCATGTACAATGCTATTCTGTTTAACTGTTGATATTCTCATTCCAGTTCATCCAAGGAAGAGCAAACTATAGTAAGTAATGATATCAAAGTAAATTAATGGCAAAAGCAATTAGAATTAAGTCTTATGAAATCTCTCCCTTTGTTTTCCAAATCATTTATCTGAGAATTGTGGTCAGGGTATAAAAAAAGTCCTAAGACACCTCAAAGTGTTCCTGCAAAATAATAAAGATTTGGAGCCTAGTGTTTCTTCATATGTAGATTTTCAGATTGGGAGCTTAAATACTTCTGCTCATACAGAAAGGAGTAGGACACCCAGGTTCATTGCTGACATTGTGTTGGATGAAAACCTCAAAGTTATGCACATTTAGCAAGGATACATACAAAACAGAGATACATAGAAAGAAGGCAGATACAAAGGTAAGAGATGACAGCACAGGTAAAAATAGGCTGATAAGCTTTGCTCTAGCACCAGCTTACGTAGAAATGAGCATTGGTTGCAACTTTAAATTTAATCCCTTGATCTAAAATTTAGTCCTTTGACGTAGCATGGATGCTTATGCAGTGTAAATGACTCTGACAATAACAAGGATATAGTTATGTGGAAAATATTTTTCTGTAGTTTTCTTCTAAAAATATAGAGAATAATAAAATAGCTAACACTTTCGTAGCACTTATTATGTGCCAAGCTGTGATCTTAATGCCTTCCATATATTAAATGTACTGAATCTTCCTAATCACCATATGAGGTAAGCTCTATTATTAACTCTGTTTTACCCATGAGAAAATGGAGAGGTTAAGGGATTTGCTCAAGGTCAAAGAGCTGGAGGGTGGTGGGCCTGCGAGTATGTACCCAAGTGGTCTGGCTCCAGAGCCCTGTGCTCATGACCTCTCCATGAGACTGTTTCACACACAAGTAAGATGAGCATATCATTAATTTTGTCAGTAAAAACGTATTTCTTTTGGACTCTTAAGCCCCTCATTGTATTGTATGTTTGGTCCCATTGTGTCTGCTCATGTTTTGACAGTGTTTTTTTCTCACTGCTGGGCTCCTCGACAACAGGTGGCACATCTCATATTTCATTTTACCCTCCTCAGTCCCTAGCACAGGGCATTACATGACTGGCCCTCAAGCCATTTGATACTTAAATGACTTCACAAACATTTTTGCTCTTCTGATAATGATTAAAGTCATTCATTCATTCATTCATTCAACTGTCTATAGCTTTAAGAAGCTGCTGCATGGGAGCCAGAAAGGCTCAGAAACATATGCGAAGGTCCAGAGAGGAGAGAAGGAAGGAGGGGGAGAGAGGGAGGGAGGGAGAAAATAAAAATAAGGGGTTCACACTCGCTTGAAGGTCGGGAGGGGTGGAAGTCGATACTGGATAGGGAAGAAGAACCCTGGATGCCACTCACGCTAAGGACTTTAGATTTTATCAAGAAGTTAATGAGGCATCTTCACCTTCACTTTCTGGTATCAACTTCTACCTCACCAAAACCAAAACAAAACAAAACAAAAAACCATTCACAATTTCAGAACACCAATGGTGGTAGCTACAGAGACATAAATTATTAATTAATAATAGGAACTAACTGACTCATTTCTTATGACCTGTTCAGGTTACCCTAAACACCCCATGCTATTATCTCTAATCCTTCAAATGACCCTGTAAGATAGATATTATTACCGCACTTCACAGATGGGAAAACGGGGGCTCAGAAAAGATGACAAAAGCAAATAATTATCAGAGCAAGAAATTAAAGCAAAGCCCACTTGACTCCAAAGACTTTCCACAATACTCCACTGAATTTCTACTCCATAGCTCATAAAACGATGTTTTTTACTCTCAAAGATGGCTTATAACTTCAGAGTTGGAAGGAACTCTAGAGTCAACACAAGGCTCTGAAGGCTTCCATAACTTGGCCCAAGTCTCAAGCTAGCGAGAGGCATGTTAGAACTAGAACTTGGGTTTCCGGCCCCAGGTCCAGGGTACTCTTCTACCATTGCGTTGTGCCTTGATGTTAACATCTTTTTTATTTTTATTGTTTAAAATAAGCAGGCCACAGCAAATCCAAGTAAGATGAATAAACTGCAGAAATGGGCTATTAGGTTAGATGAATATTAAGAAGGATAAGGGAGAGTGTAACGCTATGGAGGTTGAGAGGAAGAAAAAAACAGGTTTCATGAAAAACGGCTATAAAAGTCGTAAGGAAACACCCACTCCAGATGAGCCATTGATAACACATGACAGCGGACGAGAGAAGTAGAGGAAACGCTAAAGGTCAAAAGGGGAGGGAGGAGGGCAGTTTAGAGACACTAGTATCCGGTCTGAGACGTGTGGGGCAAGGAACATTCTGAGCATTAACAATGGATCAAAGGCCAAGCTGTACATGGTGCCCCAGGAAGGAGCAGAATACAAGTTTCACATCAAAAAAAGCTGTGAGAGTGAAAGAAAAGTGATAAGTATTACAGGTGGAAAACTGAAAATCCTATGTCTCTTCTACCATGGGGCCTGCAACCCCGCAGAACGTGATCCATATTTACTGAATACTGGTGGAAACAACCTTTTTCAATTGAAGTCAAATAATCAGTGCCCAACTGGTCTTCATATCAAATGATGTAGCAGATGGTGACTGCGCTATCACGCCCATGCGACACAGAAGTTATCACATTGATAATGTTTCTAACAAACCCCAAAGCTCGGGCTGTAAAGCGTACCCGGCTCCTTCTTCAGAGCTTTATGTGTGACACCGTATTCAATAAATTAACTTTGACTGTGATTTTCCACTTTCTACCTTTTGACTGTTCTCATTTGTTTCCACTTCATACTACAATTTTTTAAAAGTCCTTATACACAATTGTATAATGAAATTAAAATATTTTCCACTGATACAAATTACAGTGAAAGCTCTTATCAGATTCTAAAGGCTATGAAAGTACTCTAGTGCCTTATATACCTTGATGTTCTCATTCTGTAACACTTCCTCTGAACATTTGATATAGATCACGAAGCCAAACTTATGGGAAATAAAACATTGTTTTCAAGGAGATCAAATGACAAAAAGACCAAAAAAAAAAAAAGAAAGATCTGGTTAAAGAAACGTGAACATAAAAATGCATACTATACCTGTAGTCCCAATATATAAATCAATGTCTTGTTTGTGATGGACAACGGGCCCAGAATTTGTGCCACTTGGACTCTCGGTATGGAGCAGTAAAATGGTACAAACAGAGCAAACACAGGTGCCAGGCTATGCAAACAAATAAAGAAAAATCACTATAGTATAACACTCAATTTAAAATACCAATGGCAAATGTATATTTGTATGTAACACTGCTTATAATTTTACTTCAGTCTGAAAGCATGGTCTTAGATATACAAGTTGCTTTCTATATGTGCATCATGTCCAAAATAATTTGTATTTCTATATAACATTTTAAAATCTAATCCCAGTCAATTTTTTATCGAGTATCCCAAAACCACTGCAAAGAACTGGTTCAGCATCTACTAATTGATTGTCAGACATTGTTAGAAAAGTTAAAGTTGGTGCTATGATTCTTCCCATGAATGATTTAAAAATCTAATGAAAGAGATCAGACAAACTTTCAAAAGCAGCAAACATTACATACAACTCATCATGGTTAAATCCAAAAGCCTCATCTCAGACTTTGTCTGATTATATATTACTGGCACTGGATACTGTTTACCACTACTCTCCTCCTCAAATTCTTTCTTCCTTTTGTCTTAAACCCTGTTTCTTGGGGGTCTCCCTATGATTTCTGCTCCTACTCTTCTGCTACCCTTTCCAGGGTTCTATGACTGTCTCTTCTTCTCACTCCAGTCTCTCCTTGTATTATTGTAAGCCCTTCTATGGCTTCAGTTAAGAAAATGAAGTGACCTCCACAACTGTCTGCCTGTCCCCTCCCCTGGGCTTTGAAACTCAATTTGATTCTTTCAGCTGGACATATTCAAAAGTCACATGTGTCTTTCTACTTAAAGTCTTCTCTCTAAGCCATCTGGTAACACTGCTAACAGTATTCTCTTCCCAAACACAACTGATCATGTCACACGCCTGTTTAAAACCATTCCTTCCACAAGCCCCCAGTATTCAAAGGGGGAATTTAAATACTAGTATAAAGCAGTAAAGCCCTCCAGTTGTTTCTGATCAGTGTAGTTTCCCTCTGCATTCTCCTGATCTGGCCCCTTCTCTCTCACCCCCACAACCCCAAAGATGCTCCCTGGGCACATTAGGCCCTTTTGACTATTCTTCGACACTGGTTACTCTTTCAACCTAAAGGCCCTTTCCATTGCCTGTTGAGGAAACTTATGGTGTACGCCAGAGCATAACTCTTCTCTGCAGTTTCTCCAGTTCCTCTCTTCTTTGCCCTCAAAGCTACCCCATTTTTCCTGTTTCAGTGAATCACCTGGGCACTCTGTGAGAGGCAGCAGGCCAGATACAGGAGCTCCATCTATATCTGTGAGTAAGAAGCAGTTTCTGATCTCCAGGAACTAGCTCCAGGATAGCAAAATCACATTCTTACAAGGGCTATGCAGGCAACACGAATGAGTAGAGTGGTTTGGACACACACACACACACACACACACACTCCATTAAACACTTGGACTAATTACTCAGTCTATCTTTTACTTTCCCATTTTTTGGGTAAGTGGCATCAATACAAAGACATATTTCTTTACCATAAGAAAATGCAAGAACTATTCTTCACTTTCACAAAGAAACGTTCTCACTACCCTTTGTGTGGAAACACAGGACCCTCTTGGTCTCTTGCGCATTCCCATTAATTGATAGAGTTTGTTCACTGTCCTCTCAACTCTAATATTCAAAACAAAACAAAAGGGAACGCACACTGCAAATGTGATACATGGCAGCAGCATCGACAGGCCTCTACAACAACGTAGCAAATGCTAGAACAGGGAAAACCCCATCCAGCAACATCGGAGTGCCAGGCACTGGGTCAGGCCTGGAGACGCAAATGTGTGTAAGACACAGCCTCTCGCAGTCTTGGAAGGAGGATGAAGGCAGGGCAGCAGAGGTGTGCAGACGGCGCAGCGGCTCAGCGCTAAGTGCCTCCCTCACGGGCCCTCCTCCTCGCTGAGCACACCCCACGGCAGCGAAGGGGATGCATCCTGTTGGTCCCCTGGCATCTTGCACAGTGCCTGACATAGCACAGGAGCTCATTAAGTTAGGGAATAATTTAACGAAACAATCCTTATACTTGAAAAGCTGTATGAGCCACACTCTTAACTACCGTATTTCCCATGTATAAGACGCACCCTTTTTCAAAAAATTTGGGGTCTAAAAACTGGGTGCGTCTTATGCAGTGGTTATAGAATTTTTTTTTTTTTAGATTTTTATTGGGGAATTGGGGGGATGGGAACAGTGCTGGGGAATTGGGGGAAGGGGAACAGACAAGTTGCTGTCATTTTTGTTCTTCAATCTAGTTGTGGAGGATGTTGCTTCACTGGCCCAAGTTGGCACCGTCATTGCGCTCTTCCCTGGTGAGGCAGATCAGTCGCCGGCTTCTGGACGGCCGCTCACGGTGGCTGCTGGCCGCTCACGCTGGCTGCTGGCTACACACGGTAGTCCATGGCAACCCACTGCCACAGGGGCTGCAGCCTACGCCGTCGCCTGCGACTCATGGCAGCCCAGCTCCAGGTTGAGCTGTTGTTCAGCATCTTAGCTGTAGAGAGCAGTGTCACTGGCCCTCATATGTGGGATCCGAACCGGGGCCCTCTGGCATCCCAAGCGAGTTCTTAACCATCGCGCCACTCGGCCGGCCCGGTTATAGATTTTTTAACTTGCATTTCCCGCAAGTGATGAGGAGTTGCATGAATTTTATGATGAATAAAACTTGAGTTCAATAACTTTATGTAATACATTTTTTTCAAATTTTGGGCCCCCAAATTAAGGTGCGTCTTATATATGGGAATGTCTAATACATGGGGAAACACTGTATATAGGGTTTTAAAAAATTTTCCATTAGATTACTAATTCTGTGAGAAAGCACCATGTTCTAGTTAGTGCTGCATCCCCCAATGCCTACTACAGATACTTACACAAAATAGACCCTCATTATCTGTTGGACTAAAAAAATAAACAACGCAATTTTAATAAACAGAGACTTGTTTAAATTGCCATTCTCAATACTACATTAGAGAAATTTTTTTTTCCCAATTCAAATCATCTAAACCAAGCACAGTTGATTATGCAGCAATGCATTCTTTTGACTGAAAAGTATAAGTTGGCCCCTCCTGGGCATAAAACCCTCCAATGACTCCCTACCCTAGTGTAAAAGCCAAAGTCCTTACAAAGACCTACAAGGCCCTACATCCCCTCCTCAAATCTGGTCTTCTACGACTCAGGCTCCTCACCACTGGCTCTCGTTGCTCCAGCCACACTGGACCAGGGTGTGTCTCACTCAAGCAGGACTCGGCACACAGTGCCCGGGAGTGTGCATCTGCTCTGCCCCTCCCCTGGCCATCTTCCCACAGACGAGCATCGCTTACTCCCTTACACCTCCTCCGAGAAGCCCTCCCTGAGCACCCCGTTCCAAACTGCAGCCCCGGCCGGCCGTACCTCACAGCCCCAGCCCCACTCAGCATGCTCTGCTTCCTGTCCCCATAGCACCTGTAACTGTCTACTCTGCCATGTGACTTGTTTCTCATCTGTCTTGCTGACCAGAATGACAGCACCAGGAAGGCAGGCATTTCTGTCAGTTTCGTTTGCTGCTTAATCCCCACCGCCCCCACTGCCCCCACTGTCTACACTGTGCCTGGCTTGAATATATATATATATATATATATATATATTCAAAATATGGTCTGTTGGTCTCTTGGTGAAAATAAGAACACTCTATTTTGGTTGCGCTTGAGATCTCCCATCACAGAACAAGTTCTCTAAGGCACTCAAGTTCTAGAAGTTCTTCTGTTCACATTTTGCAACAAAGTACAAACAGTAATGTTATAATAAAATATCTGAAGCTGAGTTCTTGTTTGAGGTTACACTTCAATGTGAACTAAAAAAATACTGATAGGTGTTTTAATGACCACAGTTTATGTCTTATATATAATAGAAGTTTTAAAATTCCTTAGAAGTTATTAATTACTGTGTAATTTTAAATGATGACTAAACACTAGACCACATATGCCCATAATATAAGAGCACACATTTCAGGCCATGGTTATATGGGTTGTTTTGTAGAAATTTTCCTTTGCTATTTCTACACACAGAGACTTCACAAAAGTATCACTTTGTTAGTCATTGACCAGTTTTTCTCTTTTCCTTATATTATGAGAACATCTGTTCTTTATGCTGTCAACAATAATTCAGTTTGACCTTTTTCATATCGTGAGTAGCTAAGTTTTAGAAGCCCTATCTGACTTAAGCATATGAGGCTGACGTACAGAAAAGAGGAAAAAAGGTTATAAAGAATTCCTTCCTACTTTCAACTAATGTTACTAACATTTATTATCTACTATATAGATACACTACTGTACTCAGCAGAACACATAAAATAATAGAAGCACTCAATTCAGGTCACAAATGTCCATCTTACCTCTTCTATAGAAAAGGACGTTGACTCTTCTTTTATAGTACAACTAAAGAAGTCCTGATAACTTTCAATAACAATAAAAATAAGGTTTGTGAGCTCATGAAATTATCTCATTCTAAACCTCAACAGCATCTTGCAGGACAATCCACCGTCGCAGCTCTTCCTTATATACTTGACTCCTCTAATACCATAAAAAAGAGGTAGATCCAATTTGCTAGTCCATTTACTTTACCTAGTTGAGGTCTTCATGGTTTAACAACATTTTACTTAATAAAAACTTTCAACAATTAAAAACCAAAACATCCCACCAGGATGGCCTTTCAAGAAATTGAAACACTCCTCAACGGTGTCTTCTTCAAATATTCTTGAACCCAAATTTTAAAGGAACTAATTCTAGAATGTTTTACCATATTTATCCACCAAATCATAAAATCTCTATTTTCTCCTCACAGAATTTTTTTGTACTGAGAATTATTCTGCTGACCATTTAGTTCAATGTCTTTATTTTATAGACAGTGGGTTGGAGGCCCAAAGAATTCAGGTGGGTTGTTGCTTTTCTGTTTCACAAGGTGTCTCCACAGATCTTCAGTGAGCTTAGAAGAACCTAATTAAGCTTCTATATAAATGGAAGAATACCACTGAGATGCTAAAACCACTTGGCCATTTTGACAGACTCCAGGAATGAAAAGGTCTCTGAGGTCAAAGAGCTACAAATTTCTACCAAATGATTCAATTCTCTCTACACCATTCTTCAAAATAGTCATCCAGTTTATGCAAGCACCTAAATAAGAGACAGCCTATTCATTTTCCTGTGATCCTAACTCTTGGGAACTACTCTCATATTTTGATGTGAAAGCTGTCTCCAGTAGTTTCCTCTTACAGTCCTTCCTTCTATTCTCTGGAGTTAGGAAGATTAACATATGCAATTTAAACCCTTTTCTGTGAGACATTTTCCAAAGGCATGAGAATAGTGATCACATCCCTGCCAAACCTAAACACTCTCAGCATATTCAGTCATTTCTCCTAAGAGCTAGGATCCAGGCCCCTCACCACCCGAGGCACGTGGCTCCAAGTCATCTATGCGTATTGTAAAATGCAGCACCCAGAGCTGACTGGGAATGGCCAGATCAGTCCTGGGTCAGTGTAAATATCACCTGTCTTGTATTGGGCACCACATTTCTATTAATTTAACCTACAAATAAATTGCATTTTGATAGCCATGTTACATTATTGGTTTAGATAGTCAACTAAAACTATAAGGTGAAAAGCATAGGTCTCCTCCATCATGTGCACAAGAAGCTGAATTTTAGCTGTAGAATGCCCCCGTTCAAGTCTTCCCTCGTCATGCATGTGTCTGTGCAGTCACTGATTCCAGTCAGCTAGCCTCTTGCCTGAAAATATCGACTAATAGCTGTATGTATGCAAAAGAGCATCTTTCTACCACTCACCACAGAAACTTTTGTTTCTTTCTCATGAGCTGTTGAGCAAAGCACTCCCAGTACCAAGTTTCCAGGTAGACAGAATTGTCAAAGTTGACATTTTCCCCCCCTTAAAACATTTAAAAACTCGTGTTTTACACATAATATGAAAATAAAATCATCAGTAACTATGACTTTTTTTTTTCTGGTTAAGATTTATTGCTTCAGTCTCTTTCACAGAATTTTTTCTTAATGCATAAATCTTCATAAGAAAATTTATAAAGTTCCATAAATAGCAGCAATTCATAAATTCCAAGGGGTTTTTGGATAACTATTCAAAAAAAAATCACTAACAGAAAAATTTCACTTCCCATTTAAAAAAAAAAAAATGCACACGCATACGCGAGGCTAACTGATCATTACTATGCCCAGTCACAGGGTGACAGAAAAAAGTCACCACCATAAAAGGATGTCAGCACTATCTTTCTCAGAGCAACATGCCGAGGTTAACCTACTTCGGTTTGGGCAAGTACTGACTGCAGAGCTGCGTCTACAGAGGCCAGAACAAGTCAGCAACAGGTAAGTACTAGATGTTTTGCTTTTTCAATAAAGTCTTTTAAGAAAAACTTTGAGAGCTTAAGTATGGTGTACAGGGAAAGAATCTATTTAATAAGAAGCTATAAACATTTCTAACAAAAATTATGTTATTAATATAGTTTAGACTCTCTAGTGACTGGCAGTTCAAATCAGCTAATATTAAGCTAAGTGGAAGCAACTGATCATGCCAGAAATATCTCTGCCAAAAAACGGGCTTACTTTGTACTTTCTGTGTGAACTCACAATGACAAAAAGCAGTGTCAAGTTCAAATTGGCAAGTAATGCCAACACTTCAGGATGCTTTAATATGAAGGAAAGGGGCAAAGTTATTTTAAGATGAGGTATTCCTACACTTACAGGTACTGTGCACATAACAAGTCAGCACAATTCAAAATAAAAGTTGTTCCGTTTTACTAAGTGACCACATATCTATATACATAAAAGTCTTTTCTATACTTCTATTACTTCTCTATTTTTACTTTTGTTATTTCTCAGGATAGAATCCCAGTAGTAGAATTCTTGGGGGGAAGGGTAGAAAGCTTTTTAAAACTTTAGATATAAACTGATGTTTTTTGGTTTACAAAAACATTTTACCAATTTACTTGCCCATTAGTGACAGTCTGGGCTTCACTGTCTCTAAGTCAATCTCAGTATTTTAACTCTAAATATAAACTATTAATTTGATAAGTGAAAAAGAATATCTTAGTTTGCTTTATATTTATTTGATGATCAGTAGCAAGGCTAGACATGTCTCCATATTTTTTCTAGAACTTCTATGTGTCTTAAAAAACAAACCATAAAACAATGAACTATAGGCTGTGTTTTGCCAATACTTATGTCCAGGTTGGGAATGGAGGTAACAGAAACTTTGACACACTGTAAGCTGTGAGGAAGGAAACTTCCTGTGAAGGAGGGTGTGGTTTTTGAGCTTTTTTTTGGAGCAGGGTGTCACTCCAAGTACAGTATCATGTAGTGGTTAAGAGCCTGAGCTCTGGAGCTGGGCTCAAACCTGCGATCCATTACTTACAAGCTGTGTGCACGTGGGCAAGTTACCTAACATCTCTGGCATCAGTTGCTTCTTTTGTAAAATGGGGAGTAATAACACTGCCAAGTCGTTAGAACATTGGCTCCCATACCAAGTGCTAGGAAACTGTGTGCTATCATTATTCTCCCCTCCCTCTGCCCATTAAACTGCCGAAAGATGAATCCGGTAGGCAAAGTTTCCTTGCCCTACCATTTTTGTGAGAAATTTCTTAAACAAATTTTCAGATCTTTACAGAATATTTTACATAAAGCCTGAGTCTACGGATGGTTATACATCTAACTGTGCTTACTGTCCTGACTCTGCATTTGCTAGTAGTATTTCAGTGCATGTTTTCTCTCTGGGACTTAATTGTACTTTTTGGACACAACACTGCAGAGAGCACCCTGTTCTACAAAGCACCCTCACTCACATGCTCACCTATCAAGTGGTAGTGATGGTGATAATCCCTTTTATAAGTTACTTTCAACTGGCTTCGGAGAGCTTATCAATAATCACATGACCAGTCAATTAATGGAATAAATTTTAACTCAGGTCACCATATGACTTTCATTCATTTATGTACTCCATAGGTATTTACTGGATACCTACTGTAAGACAATTCTGAAACAGTCTATGGGACAAAATGTTGTATAACATAAAGCCGTCATCCTTAAGTAGTTAACATTTCAAAAAGAGCTTAGCACCCAGTAAAGGGGTTTACAGGTGACACTTTCTCCCTGCCATGGTTAAGGTCCCCCTTAGTTGTCTAAAGGCCCTGAGGGTGGTATGTGCTGCGGATGTGTACAATCCTCCAGTTAGTACAGCTTCATCTATAGATCACATTGTGTGTTCACCACCCAGCATCAGTTCTCCTTCTATCACCATATACTTGCCTCCTCTTCTCTCTTGTTCAGACAGGTATGAGTTGGTATGTGTTAAAATGTTGAGATGTCTTCCTGTTTTACTTGTTTTTTACCGATACCATCAGATCATGTTGGAAATAGGAGCTAGGAAGAAAGCATGTTGCACTGAATGTGATTACTGGAGCCAAACTGCCTGACACTTAACAGCTGTGTCTCTTGGCAAGTCACGCGAGTGTTCTGTGACTCGGTTTCACCAGTGGAAATGGATTTGTGAAAGCTTTGTGAGGATTCATGTGAATATATGTAGTGCCCAAGGCAGTGCCTGGAACAGTCTGTGCTTAATAATACTGGTGCTATTATTAATTAAGAGCTTACTATAGTCTAATAAAGAACCCTTGATTGAGGATCAAGCAAGTTGGGATTTTGATATTCTTTAGTGGGTATTTATTGAGCATCGATCATGGGTCACCTGGAGATACACACAATTAACAACACTGTACTCACTGAGAGGACTTCACAGGCTAGTGGGAAACAGAAAAACCCAACAACAGAAAACAACACAGATGCTGTTACGGAGCACAGTGCCCTGGCAAGGACAGCACTGCGGGTGCTGGTGAGTGGGCAGGAGAGGGTAAAACCAGAGATGCTTTCAGGAGCAGCAGGTTTTGAACTAGGTCTTGAAGGAAAGTAGGAGCTAGGAACACAGAACAGGGGAGAGGAGGTGTCACAGCAGAAGGAAGAGTGTCAGAAAGGCACAAAGCTGTGAGAGGACATAGGACATCAAAAGACTGCAAGTGGGGCCGGCCGAGTGGCGCGATGGTTAAGAACTGGCTTGGGACGCCAGAGGGCGCCGGTTCGGATCCCACATATGAGGGCCAGTGACACTGCCCTCCACAGCTAAGATGCTGAACAACAGCTCAACCTGGAGCTGGGCTGCCGTGAGTCGCCGGCGGCAGCGTAGACTGCAGCCCCTATGGCAGTGGGTTGCCATGGGCTACTGTGTGTAGCTAGCAGCCAGCGTGAGCAGCCGTCCAGAAGCCGGTGACTGATCAGCCTCACCCGGGAAGAGCGCAATGATGGCGCCAACTTGGGCCAGTGAAGCAACGTCCTCCACAACTAGACTGAAGAACAAAACGACAGCAACTTGTCTGTTCCTCTTCCCCCAATTCCCCAGCACTGTTCCCATCCCCCAATTCCCCAATAAAAATCTTTAAAAAAAAACAAAAAACTCACACACGCACACACATATATATTTAAAAAAAAAAAAAAGACTGCAAGTGATTGAGTATGGCTGGAGCCAGGACATTGTAAGAGGGAAGACGGCCAGAGATCCAGCTGAAGAGGGAAGTGGAACCCAAGTATGAAGGAAAGTGTATGCCACAACAGAGAGCTTTCGGTTTGCCTCGTGTTAAACAGGCACCATTTGAAGAGCATCCTAAGAACTGCCGCAGTGTGCAGACAGAAGGGAGATGGCCCGAGGTAGGCAGAGGAGGTGCGAGTCTGTGCACAAACAGGCAGACGACAGACCCTAAGTGTGTGGTGCAGACGAGAGGCTGAGCGCAGAGAAGGGTCAGGAGGCTGAAGGCCCAGGGAGCGTGGACAGCCTGGAGGTAATGGGGGAGGGAGGACACGGGGTCCTGGCTGCCTTTGTGATCCCTGACTTGGCACCTGTATTAAGGGAGGACCGTGAACAAAGGACCCACTTCTGTTTATCCGTAAAATAAGGATATTTAATGTTTCTGACTAATTTCTAGGAGATAGCAGACACAAAACCCAAAACTTGAAACTCCCTGGTACCTTAAGGAGAAAAGGTACATATTATTTCTAGAAACGTTTTGGACTCAGAAGATAAAGATTATACAGACTCAGACCTTCGTTACAGGGTATTTTTATATTACGCAGTTAGTTATCCTGCATATAGGTCAAATCATGCCACATGGAGACAGCATGTGTCTTCCTTACACTGAAGGATTATAATGGGATTCCTTTTTCTTCCAATTCCGAAATATTACGTCATATGATTCAAATCCTTACTGTTAACACTTTTGTCTTCATCTCTGACAACTTTCATAGCATCTTAGTCAGTCAGTACTAAAGCTGCCAAAAGCCAAACAAGGAATAAATAATCAGTGAAAGGTGAAAAAAAAATAGCTGGAAAACGTAAAATCCCAAATGTCCAAGTGGGTGTTTAAACAAATAATTCAAATGTCAGGCACCTTTCACTTTCCCATCAACTGCAAGGTACATGTTTACAGAAGTTGAGGTTGGTCTTCTTCATTGCGCGTCCACTGAGTTCAGGACATAGAGGAACCAAGGAGAAACTGCAGATTGGCAAACACTAGTTGTTTTTTTTCCTGTTTTGAAAAGATTCTCCGTGCACTGTCCTATAAATGACCCTCTAGAGACCCACTGAGAGCTAGTCAGAACCAGACTATGTTATGGGGTGGCGGGAGGGTCACATTGCTATAAGCCAGAGCAAGTGAGCTCCCCAGGAGGCAGAGACGTGAGTTCCCCTCAAACAGACTGACCACAGACAACTCTACTCGGCCAACACTCTGGCATGTGTGTGGTTCCATTCTGACAAAGTGTAGGCAGCTGCCAGTATGTCACCTTTCTGGACAATACTGCCAATAACCTTCCAAACAAATAAATCTTGGGCTTAGCTTTCAGTGTAGGACTCAAAGCTGGTTAGGAAAAACAAATCACCTAACAGTGTAGAAAGGTTTATTTTACTAGGTTAACGAGGTCCGTGGCGCTACAGAATGGACAATCTGACTTTGCAATGAAGGGAGTGACGCGAGGCTGCGCCTGTGCTGGTCACAGCCTGTCTGTGCCTTGCGCTTCTAGTCAGGAGTTAATGCTTCCCATCTACTTGTTTCATAAACCATTGACACATACAACCACTCAGGTGATAGCTGGTTAGGCTACTAAAAAGAAGCTGGAAAAAAATCATTGGCCGATCGCTAGACTCTGGCATGTGTGACACTGGACCAAACTCCGAGGTCCCTGTTTCCTTGGCTTCAAGAACACGGAGGCTTTTCCCAAGACACTGACAAGTACTTATAAAACTAGGTAACTGGGAAAAGCAGCAATGA